CTATATAAATCTTTTACCGACATCTATTGATTTTAACTTGCTGTTTTTTTACATTTTACTTTAATCAATTTTCATTGCTTTAACCGGTTTTTTGGCGCAGATAGCCTAGCTGCTTTGCGCCATAAAACACCAACCAACCAACCAACTCACTATGGACAGGTCAAAGTGTGCATGTCATAACTTTTTAGAGTTACATTCACAATTTAAGTAAACTGCTTTATTATATTGTTATATATATAAACTTGGCATAAAAATTTGTTAATAAATCAAATTTTAATATTATGTAAGTTTTCAGTTCTTAATTTTATAAAAAAATATTTAAAAAAATCCTCAATCTCACCCTAATATGAAAAGTGTGACATTTGCTCTTTAGGTATCTCCTTTTCTCTAAGTTATTTACCACCCCTCTAAGAAGTACAAAATTTAATGTAAATTACTCATTATAATGTTGTCATCACTCAGGCAAAGCATAATTTTTATAGCCTTGAATCTTGTTTGGTTACAGAGCCACAAACAAGAAGATCAGACCTCTCTTGCCACACCCACCTGTCACATTCTTTCATAAATTGCCAATAGCTCTCTCTCTGCTGTTTAATACAATATTATTTATAACCAATAGAAAGACAAAGTTTTAATCTATCAAATGATATATTGTTTTTTGAACATAATTAAAAAAACTCATGTTTACAAACATTACAACACAGTGAAACCATAGTATATGTATTAAAAAGTAAATATACTGTAATTTTCAAGAAAGTGTCAAAGACATATCTTTATTAAGTTTTAAGCAATTTCCAGTCATTTGAATTATTTGCTTTGTACTATATACATTTTTCGTGTGTCAGTGAAAAACTTAGACCTCATGATGACAAAACTTTCTCCAGACATTTTTTTAGAGTTTTGTTTGTTACCCATTCAACCTGTTTCAAACTGTATAAACTTACCAACCTTATCTCAAATTATCTAGTATTTTACTGAAGATAAATGTTGTAGCTTTCAAACAGATATAATTTAATACACAAATAATTTCACAATTCACAATGAAAGAAACATTTACAGAAACTATTAAAAAAAATCTTAAACCTATATATTTTACTCTAATAATAGTCTAATTCTTGATCTGTCCAATCATTTAAACTTTCTTTATAGCTGTTTTCAAAGCTGTGTTTTATAAGTAAATGGTTAAACCACTTCATATGGCACCATAGTAAGGTTTCAACCAAGGTTTCTACAGAGAAATGCTGGAAAATTAAGAAGTGGATAATATATTCTCAGGATTTGGTAGGTTCTTAGTAAAAATAATTAAATTTTGGGATGGGCATAAAAAATCAACAAACAAGTTTTCATTTACATGCATAACTTTTTGCAGCTGTGGAGAAATGAAAATATTATCTTTTTTCTTCATAAATTACACTCAATAACAATCAGAATATGACAAAAGATTGCATTTAAAATATTTTTGGAAAGACTGGCAGAAAACTCTATTCCAGGACTTCAGAACATCTTAAGGACATAAACCAAGGTATCAGCAATAATATCACTTTTGCTGAAATATTACCCAATCAGTAAAGCACTGTAAAGAACAGACATTTCTAGATGGAAAATATACAGAAGTACTACTTCAACACCAACTTAAATCACCAATCAATTAAGATTGTGGTTGTTTTATTTATTTTTATTATTGCTATTGACGTTTAATGAAAAAATAATGCTGTTGTTTGTTCTCATTCAAGGTACCTAGTGTTAGATGAAGCAGATCGTATGCTGGACATGGGTTTTGAACCACAGATTCGTCGCATTGTTTTGGAGGACAACATGCCACCAACAGGGAACAGGCTTACTTTGATGTTTTCTGCAACATTTCCAAAAAAAGTGCAGGTAAATACTGCTGTTATGTTTTATGGTAAGAAGGTACCAATTGCATAGATGAAGTCGATTTTAAAATTGAACAGTTTGTTTAATGAGTTACAAAAATATCAAGTTTTCAAACAAGGAATTTCAAAGTGCGAGTGTTTTTGCTATAATGTTCATACTTTTAGTTGCAAAATTCCTTTTTACTAAAGAAATGTAGACTTTTTGAAACTATTTTTTGACTATTTGTATTCTTACAAGCTGCTTCATATTAATTATATCATGTAAAAAATAAGATATACTGTAGGAACAGTTGAAATCATATATAAATAGGTTGAAAAATTTATGTAATTGATAAAGTAATAACTTAAAAGATATTTCTTTAGTGTTCATTTAAGATTTGAAAAATTTTCTTTGATTAACTGTACCTCAAAAACTGAGGCATTCAAGTTTAGACTTGAAATTCTATATGGAAATAGTGTGGTTATTTTTTGTTAGGTTTTAATGTAAAAAAAAATACAAGACTAAATATATGACCAGTTTTACTTGGAAACATTTTTTTAAATTGACATGTCATTAAATAGGAATGTTTTTATAATTCAAGTTTTAATATATTCAAATTGAACTTAAAAAATTATGAATGAAAAAATAATTATTTGAAATTATTTATAATTTGAATTTCAGTTTAAATAGTCTTATTATAATTTATAAGTTTAAAACATTTTTTTTTTTTTTAAATTTACACAAGTTTTGTTTGTACAATAAAATGACCACATTGAAAAACATTTAAGATTTATGTATTTAACAATTTTTATGCCTATTGGTATTTCAGTAGTTCACTGGCTTTGAGTATAACCCTTTTCTAATTGTTTTAATTTATGCACTTGTGATGCATGGTAAGAAAAGATATCTTAATTATTCCTTTTCTAATGTTTTAATTCGTGTGTCTTTGATTTGCATTATCCCTATCGGGATGACATCATTTTTAAACCACTTTACTACCAATGTATTTTAATTAAATTGTTATTATCAAATACGTTATAATTCAAAGCTTATATTACTTTAATTTTTATTCCTTTATTTTAAAAGAAACCTCTAAAGCAATAATTAAAACTGCAGTGTTTGTTGTCATGTGATATGCTTGTGGTTGAAGATCACAACTTTAAGAGCTTCTCTAGAAGAAATTGTGTGTGTAATGTAAATGTTTTGTGCATATGTTCAAAGTACATGTATATAGGTTGTTTACCAGTAATTCAAGTACATTCCAAGAACTTGTCCTGGAGGAAACCATTGTAAAAATTCCCCAGTTCCAGATAAGCCATGCCCACTTACAAAGTGGAATTGTGTTGCGAAGCAACACTTTTAACTTTAATGGCATGCTTATAACCAATAGAAAGAGCAGATTTCACACTACAGTTTCTCAGGGTTATCTTGAAACTGAAATGAAATATACATTACAACACAACTCAAACTGCTGCTATGTCCATTGTTGAAGATCATTGTCCCTATCACTTCGTTATTTTCTTACCTTATACATATTAGTTTGATAGACAGTTAAATTGTATTTAGTGTTTACTTTTATATTTTAATTAATGATGCATTATTTGTGTTTTAAAATTCATATTTGAAAGGTTTGCTAATTTTTATAAAATATCAAAAGCTTCCCTTCGCTCTGCAAGTCTTATATTACCAAGCTAATAAAAAAATATTTTGCTAGGGCCTAAAGCAATGGTTCTCAAAC